GGGGTGTAAAATTGACTTAGTTAATAGAGCTTATATGTGTTTTTCAGCCCTAAATATATGAAATATATTTTTAAATGTGAACAAAAAACTATTTTCCTATTCTATGTACTTACATACGCATATCAAACATACTACATTTATTTTAAAAAAGCAGCTGATTTCAAAGACACTGGATTTCATGCACTGATTGGTTGTTTAATCTGCAGTTATGCATTAATGAAGCATTACATGTGCATGTACCAGTAAACTGTCAAGAGGGAATGAATGCATCAGTTTCTCCCATTTTTCAAACTTAACCTAATTAAAACTCCCTTCTTTGTTTAAAACTTCTTTAACTAGGATGAGAAACAGAAACATTTTACCAGTCCCTTATTCAAACTCTGAATTGTCCTGTTTTTAAAGCACTGAGGGGATTTACTGAGCTGTTCAACACTATGTCAGAATCAGAATACTTTAATAATCCCTAAAGAAATTATGTCTCAGTTCATTGTGCAGTCATCAAAGTATCTGCTTCAAACTATTTTTTTCAACAATTGCTTTTATTTATAAATGATTTTGCTATTATATGTGGCATTTGATTTTCAGTTCTGTTACCACTCATAAAATAAAAAAATAGTAGACACAGGTTAATGTGATAAACAGCTCTGATATATCAAATGTGAACAGTTATACACCATCGTGTTGTGGTTTCGCATGGAGTTGCAGCAAAAAATATCTGTGAGTGTACTGCACCCTGCAGCATCAGGTGTTGCTCATTGTTTTGTGTAGTTACAGTGTCAGTTTAAAAGTCCAACCGGTGACAAACGAAAGCACAGCCAAAGTGCAGCAAGAGAGCAGGTGGAAAAACATGCAGCAAGGACATCGTGAGGTCCCGGTGACGAGTGTGATTTCTTTTGACAACATGGACGGTTAGTCAAGTTTACTTTATATCAAATACAATGAAACGAAACGAATATGAGTTTAAAGGAAATGTTTTGTTTGGACAAACTCTGAATTATTAGCTTCTGATAAACTGAAAAAGCTGAATGAATCATTTCATTGCTCCAAATATTAGAGAGGGTCAGACTTGCTATTGGGAAGGCTGGAATGTTTGCAGTTGTCCAAGGGTCTTTTTGTCTACTGTGAACAGTCAGTGTGATATGATGTAGAAACCATGCATATGTACTCTCTTTTCCTCTGTGCAGTCTCCATGATGCACAAGAGCACATTACAAAGACCCATGCATCTCTGGGCATGCAGCCTCTCTTTCTCTCTCGATATTTTGATGGTAACACACATTATAACTGTATCTGTACTTCTGTGCTCAGGTGCTCTCCTCCTTTCTACACTTTTATTTTAAGTGTAATTACCTTCTTCATTAGGTAGAAATAATCTGCAAAATCAGCAAACGAGTGTTTTAGAGTGGCCAGTCTGGCAAAGATGTGATAGAAAATTACCAACCCATCAAATTCAAGTCAGCTTAAAGAACTCAGACATGAACCGAAACCTCTGGATCTTAAAGTACTCAAACAATAGCAGAGGCAACAAAACTTAGTGCATCTCTTTAGTTTTTGGTGTTGGTGTCATTTCAACATAATGTGGCTTCTGTAGCAGCAATTTCACGTCCTGTGCAGTGAAGTTCAAAGCTAATATGTCTAAAGAACGGAGAAAACAGAGGGTGACTTTGACTTTGAATGTAACTCTTGTTGTGACCTTGGTTTTGAATATGAAAATGAATGTAACTATTGATCAAAGTCAGAAAAGGAAGCACTGAAAACAGGAACATGCTTTACATAACATAATGCAAAACAAGCTAAAAGGAGAATGAGAGGGAAAATAGAAAAGGATTCATTTATCCAGTTTCTTCCGCTTATCCAAATCAGGTGAGGCTGGAGCCTATCCCAGCTGTCATAGGGCAACTGACGGGACAGGTCACCAAACTCTCATAGGGGTCAAAACAAATCAGCTATGTAACTACAAATACATAATTTATTCATCAAGTTAATTATGCCAGCCGTAATTGAATCTGATTACAGTGTGTACATTTCAGTACATTTCAGTGTGATCTGTAGTGAGCATAGGGAGCAGGTGAAAGACAACCTGTTTAAGTGAGAGAAGAAGTGTATAGAATTATAAAATAACTTTGTGTCAATGTGACTGAACTGACTCACGTGCAGACATAGGAAAAAAGTGGAATGAATGTTTATTTAGAAGCACCAAGTGAGCTATATACAAATGTGTGAACGTCAGGGGTTCCAGTGATCCATGAGATGGAGAGGAGAGGGACACTCCACTTCTGACATCCCACACCACTCTCCCAAACACTCATGCTCAGAGAGGAATCCAGAGAGGAGAAACAAGGACGTTTCCAGGGAATCTATATACAATAAACAGACGAAGACATCAGAACTGGGAAATCATAGGGAAACACGAGAGAGGGTTAGAGCCGGGGCTACACTAAAGTGAGTCGTACAAAAACCCAGCGAGGAGAAGCTCTTTTTCATTAGCAGTGACCAGGTCGCACAAAGATGGGGACAAAATTAGAGAGGCGTGGCTGAAATGGTTTGGACATGTGCAGAAGGATCACATCATCACGTACAAGGTCTTAAATTTACAGGTCCAATCATATCTTAAAGACCACATACTACATAGTAATGTATCAACTCAGACTGCTCAGATTAGGCTTAAAACTTTCCTTTTTGCTAAAGGATATAGAGGGGTTGGATCAGGTGACTCTAAATTTTCCCTTAGTTACGCTACAATAGGTCTAGGGATTCCCATGATGCACTGTTTCTTCTACAGTCACCCTTTTCACTTACTGTGTGTTTATACACCTCTCTGCATTTAATCTTTAGTTATTATTAATCTCTGGATCTCTTCCACAGTATGTGGTTTTTCCTGTCTTCCTCTTCTTACCCCAAACTGGTCGTGCCAGATGGTTTCTTCCTGTTAAAAGGGAGTTTTTCCTTCCCACTGTTGCCAAAGCAGTTAAGCAAAGGGGGGGTCATGTGATTATTTTTGCTGCTTTCTTTACCTTACAATATAAAGTGCCTTGACGAAAATGTTGTTTTGATTTGGAGCTTTATAAAAAAAATTGAATTGAATTGAGGGATAATATTTACCATAATAGACAAAGAATGTTGACCATGGAGTTGTTAGGCAAGAGAAAAGAGAAAGACCACAGATAAGATCTGTGGCTGTACAGTAGTGAAGGAGGACATGCAGAGAGTTGGTATAACAGAGGATGAAGCTAAGGTTAGGGCGAGATGGCATCATATGATTCGCTTAGGTGACCCCTAAAGGGAACAGGTGCTTGAAGAAGATTTCAAATATGTAACACATCCTTTTTCTGTATTTATAATTAGATAATACTTTTAATTATAGTATTCTAGAAGAGTAATACCATTTTTCTAGAGTCTTGACCTTCTCTTTTGCTAATCACAAATTTACTACAAGCATATTTAACTTTGCGTTACAACAAGGTGCTGGTCAAGATTTTTACATAAAAAATGAAAGAAAATTGTGGGTTTTTTTATATTACTAAATTTCGATATGCACGATAGTTCTCTCATTCTCATTCAAGGCGCAGTCACAACGTCCACAGGATCTGAGTAGTCGTGTGTCTCTGCGCTGATTTTACTTTCAAAAACATGGATGGTAAGTTGCAGTTATAATCATGTATTGATAATTAACAAAAACATGGGAAACAGAAAGGAAGAACCTTCTCTCCAACCAGCTGAAAGTGATTGTTTTTCTCAGTCAAGGTTATCTACTCCACTCAATACCTAAAGTAGTTGTGTAAACATTACCTAATATATTTAAGGCTGTAAATCTGAATATTATAGCAGAATAATATGGAGTATATGCTTGCTAGACGTAATAATTCTAAATTATTTGGTTGGTATCCACCATCTGAACAGCTAGATCTGAACTGTGCACAACAGTCAAAGAAATGAACATTCTTTCTACTGTACCACCATGTATTTTTAAGCCAATTACTGACTGGTTTGTGAACTTCATGCAGTTTTATTTACATTTAAAAGAAAGCAGACACGTCCATCATTTGCAGCTATAGCTTGTATATGTTGTCATAAATGTTTTATTTGACTTTACTGTTTATTTTTGTTGCACTGTTTAGACAGAGCAATAGATAAAGAACTGACACTGAATCATTACTGTCTTATAGAGTCAGCAAGAAGGATTGTGGTCCTGGGAAAAACTGGAGCTGGTATTGTCAACACCCTGTGTGGAGAGCCTGTGTTTGAAGTAGATCATACCCCCAAATCTGGAACAAGTGAATGTCAGGCAAAGTACATGTCAGTCAGTGGAAGAATGGTACTCTTTATTGACACTCCTGGATTTATTGACACAGACAGACCTGAGGAGGAGATGAAGTCTGAAATATTGAGGTGTATCAAAGAATGTGCTCCTGGTCCTCATATTTTTCTCATTGTGCTTAAAGTGGAGAAATACACAGAGCATGAAAAGGCTGTAATAGACAAAATTAATCAATATTTCTCAGTTGAAGTATTTAGATTTACTATAATAATCTTTACTCATGGTGACCATCTTCCTGAGGGAATGAAGATCGAAGAGTTTGTTAAACAAAGTGAAGCTCTGAGCGATCTGATCAAGAAGTGTGGGGGCCGCTGCCACGTCATTGATAACAAATACTGGAAGAACAACCAGGGAGATGAATACAGGACCAACCAGTATCAGGTGGCAGAATTACTCAAAACCATTGACGAGATTATTGATGCAAACAAAGGAGGCTACTTCACCAATGAGATGCTGCAAGGAGTGAAGAGAGATATTCAACAAGAGGAAGGTCGCATCAAACAGTCATCTCCAGACTTTACGGAAGAGGAAACTGCAACAAAGGCAAAACAATCTGTGTTTAAAAATCTGTTGTCAAAAGCTGCAGGAGTTACAACAGGAGCTCTACTGGGTGCACTCCTTGGTGGAGCGATAAAATTTATGAAAGAAGAAAGAAGTCTAGGTTTAGCAGTAGGAGTAGCATTAGGAACAGCAGCAGGAGTAGCTGCAGCAAAAGGAATGATGGCAGACGCAGCAACAGCATCTGACACAATTCCTGCTGGGTCTGCTGAGCCAGCAGCTGAATAGCATCAGTAACATTGGTTTGAAACAGATAATAGAGCTGACAGACAAACTACAGCACTAAACCAATTTTTTTAGAGGTATAAAAGGAGTTAGAAATTAAATATCAGAATTTTTGCATCCTCTGTTAAACTCTCAATAAAGTACCTTTAAAATCCACAGATGCACAGGATTCGTGTATATTGCTAGGAAACTACTCACAATCACTTTTACAAGCTGCCATCAGAGAGTCATTATTAAAATTATAGAACAGGAAACTTTAGAATCTTTTTGTTCATCATGATTGGATTTCTGAGTTGTTGTTTTTTTTGAATGCTTACTGTTAACATATAAATGAAGCAACATATGCTTAATATAATGTGTGAATTTTCCCATTATGCTAATACAGTCTTTATGTTCCAGTTTATATTTCAAACTTTACCCATGAACATGTCCATTACTCCAGCTTAAAACATTTCTTTAATAGATCTATAACTTTCAAATAACTTTTGCTTCTGTTTTGTGACGGTTTCTTTGTTACAAATGTTCACTAATAAAACAGCTAATTTTATCACATGTAACCAAGTGTCTTGAATTTTTCTTGACAGATTTCATTTATCAGCTGAATAGCCTCATGTTAATGATGAGCAGTAAGTAACAGATTCAGTTACTTACATTTCAATTAAATAATTCATCTATTAATTTCTTTTAAAAAAAACAGATATCAGCTTAAGTCAACTTTACTGTAACCTCAGTTTAATGCTTTTAAGTGTTGCTCACGTTGCCAGACTACTATCAAAGTTTCACATATTGAAAAATGCAACAAAAAATGAGACTAAATAAATCAAAACAAAATGCAGACTCTGGTATTCTAGGAATATCGATCGAAACTTTAAAAAAAATTATATATAGTTCACAAAACAAGAGAATCTATGCAGTCAGTAGCATTAAAGAAATGTGTGAAGGCCTATATAAAAATAATTCATAAACAGTGGTCCCTTGCTATATCGCAGTTCAGCTTGCGTCCTGATTGGCTGTAGACCATTGTCAATCAATCTCGTACCGTGTCTCCTGTACAGTACACAATGTGTTGAGCTTGTCAAATTTACATAAATCTTCGATCACTAGCAGTGTGACACTGAAGTGCTGTATTGTATGTTTGTAAGTTTTCTCCCCAACAAACACAACAATGTCGACAAAACATCATCACCTGCGGGCGGACTTCTTTTTATACAAGGTTTGAACTTTGAGAGTGTTTAAACAAGAGAGAAAAGTGTGAAAATGTCCATGCCTGTCTGAGAAAAGTGTATAAAGTGTTGAGGGGTTTTAAAGCCTTACAACATCTGTAATAATTATAAAAAATAAATGGCGGATTTCACTTATCACGGGTTACTTTTATAACGCAACTCGAGGGACCACTGTAATAGAAATAAATTCCACTTTCCTGAAGAATAGAAATAAAAATATTAAAACATCCCTAAGGGCAATGAAATACAGCTTAACTTTTTCTTTCTTCTTGCATCATGATCTTTTTGTGTCATGTAGTTATTTATTATCTTTATCTCTACGTTGCAGCACTTTGGATTATTATATGTAAATATACAGTGTGCGAAGTGTTTTGTTCGCTTCTTTTGGCTTAAACCCAGATAACAACTTAGACAGGTAGCAGAAGCGAAGCACAAGTCAAGTCAAGTACAAGAACAAAAGCAAACGACTCACTTCAGAGACACATCATGAGCCAGACTGTATTTTTGACACACTTTCCTCAGCATGGTGACAAGTAACTTTTAAATAGACATTACTCCAAAAATATGATTTTTTTGTCATTCAAAATCCTAAGGTGTGACCTGTTTTTTAAATCAGCTGAGTTCATTTCAAGAGCTATCTCCTTATAAGAAAAAAAAAATCTTGGTTCTCTAAGCTTTATTAATCTTATAAATACAAGCAAGATTTTTGGTTATATAGGGTTGTTTGGTGACACATGGCTTGCAAAGTAGTACTGCATTAATGGTAGTTCATGCTTTTCTTTTAATATCTCAAACATGCTTTAAATTTAGTTGTGTCACAAGAAATCCTTCATGTGTGGTTGGCAGAAAGGAAGTGGACCCAAATGCAGAATTCAAATACAAAACATAAACTTAAGGCGACTGCTTTATTGCTGGGAAAACTGTCCAAACATCCATCCATCCATCCATCCATCCATCCATCCATTCGCTTCCGCTTATCCTTTTCAGGGTCGCGGGGGGCGCTGGAGCCTATCCCAGCTGTCATAGGGCGAAAGGCGGGGTACAAACATAAGCTAACAAAAAACAAAGTATAATGGAAACTAAAAACAAAAACACTGAAAAATGACAGCTCAAACACCAGGAAACAAGAAATGAGGAGCTAACGCTTGAACTCTTTAACACAGACTCACACACAAGAGGAGGTACAACGCAAGAAAGGGCAACGGACAACACAGGGTTTAAATATACAAGTCAGTAATGAGGAAATGGGAAACAGGAGCGAAACACAGCTGGGATTCTTTAGACATAACGAGACAAGGGAAGGAAAACTAGACACACTGACACAGGGCAGTGGTGGTCCTAGCCTGTTTGGTGCCCTGGGCGAACACTCCCTCGGGCCCCCCCCCCCCCCCACACACACACACACAAAACATATTAAGGATTGTACATTAACATAAAACTGTTGTACACACACACACATATGAAGAGAGAGAGAGTATGCATAGTATGCAAACGGCTACCAAACAGCCATCATAATTCGTCATACAATGAGAACAGGACAAATCAACAATTGACAATGACTAATTAATATTAAAATCTGTAACATAATGTATTGTTTGGAGTTTAGTCTGTTACTGTTACTATTTTTACCATTTCTTCTTGGAGCAACCCACATAATTTCCTTAGGGATTAATAAAGTATTCTGATTCTGATTGTTTCAGGATGACCTGCCATTATCCAATGACACATCTGCTTACCTGCATCTTTTGCTCGTTTCTCCTCCTCTTCTTTTCTCTTTTTCTAAACTGAGCACCTGATGGCTTTGAACTTTTCTTGTCCATCTTCCATTGGTTTTGATTTTGCATTCCAGTATGAACACCCATCCCTCAACCCAAGGATCACCACAGCATGATCTAACACACCTAAACCTTAGTTCACAGATTCACTTTGTCTAGGGTGTACTTCTGAGATTTCACACAATCCAGGATTCAAATCATGAATACATAATGGGCTTGGATTTTCAACATTATAAATGAAATGCGCTCTATTTGGAAGCAGCCGCCCCCCCTCCCCTTTCGACAGGTTGTGTGTGAGACTTTAAATCATCAAACTGTAAAATATACATTTTAAATTGTTATTGATCCCTTCACCCCGAGTCCTAAAGTGTATATTTATTTTCTTACTCTTCTTATATTTATTGTTTGTTTACTTGCACTGCTGTAACTGGAGCCTCGTCATCTCGTCTCTCTATATACTGGACTGTATGTAGCGGAGATGACAATAAAGTTTACTTTGACTTCAGCAGTAAGCAGGTGCACCGAGGGCTCTCGCACTCACTTTTCACGTATAGAATTTCGAAAAAACATTGGTGCAAATTATAAGTCTGTATCATGATGTCAGGTGTTTTCGTGTTTGTTGTTTTGATTTTATTTTGTTTTATTTTCCGAGTTGGTTATTAGATGCTGCTCCAGCCAGTCAGAGAATTCCCCGCCGCCCCCCTCCTCCCCTCTCCTCCCTGTGCGGCAAGCAGCAGGTGCACCTCGCAAACGGAGGGCGCCTTTACTCCCAGCAAATGGGCGATAGAAACCGATTGGTGCCTATGCCATTCCCAATATGCGCTGTGACGCCGATGCCCGTGATGTCGCCCCCCACCACGATGCCGCCCCGGGCAACCACCCGTGTCGCCCGTATCTAAAACCGCTACTGACACAGGGCATGGACTGTCAAATTAAAACGAGAAATAACACGAACATCAAACCAGGTACACATGACACTACACAGGGAATACAAGGGAGGCATTCAGACAAAACCTAAAGGCTGGGAAAGCACAGCGGTCCTAAAGAATAAGTAAGAACATGAAAACATGACAAAAGACAAAACTATGAAAGCCCCACAAAATCCCAGAACACTGAATAAACAAAACTTAAACACGGAGTCAACCGACTCCAGACCTTGACAGAAATAAGTATGTTTGTTGGGTATGTAATACATTACAAGTAAAAGGAATCTAGACACAATTAGGATTTACAATAAATCTATTTCATAAAAACATACAAAATAGATTTATTGCATGAAAATGTTCATGCAAAATTTTGCTGAGACAGGGCCATCCTTTATATATAATATGTCCACTATGTCCAAGACACACATTCTGAAGTTGCAGTAACATCAGAGGGAGCTTTTTTATTTCAAACCAAAATTTAAAAATGGGAAAATTGTGGGAAAGCATTAAACAGAAATTATTCACATGTACATGTATATACATATTACCCGCCCAGTTTAATAGTTTCTGATGATTAAGGACCGTTGAATGTGCTTAACATGCGTTTTGTTTACTACCGATTTCTTGTGTAAATTAGACACCGTGGTCTGGCATGTCTATACTTTGCTGTGATACTGGGTTGATACATTTTTGATCTGAAATCTGATAATTGATCAGAGATGTCAGGAAGCAGATGAGTTAATCTGATTTTTTTCATCTATTCATTTTTTCTTCCAGTGTTCAGTTCAGTTCAGTTCATTTTTATTTCAAACATTTCAAACACGTGCCTTCACAATCATTACAAACTTTTATTCCATTATTTGTTTGAAAAGGAGTAGGCAGAAGTATTTACTTATTTGTCCCTACCCCCTTGTCTTTCTTCCAGTGACAAAGACAAGGAGGATTGTCCTGCTGGGAAAAACTGGAACTGGGAAAAGCAGTCTGGCTAATACCATATTTGGCGAGACCAGATTGAAGATTAATCATTTTAATGACTCAAACGCATGTTTGTCTCAGAGCGAGACCAAGACTGTTGATGGAAGAAGCCTAACTTTAATCGACACTCCTGGTTTCTTTGACCCAAGCAGGTCTGAGAAGTTGGAGCATGAGATGTTGAGCTGTATTACAGAGTGTGCTCCGGGTCCTCATGCTTTTCTCATTGTGCTCAAAGCAGAGAAATTCACAGAGCACGAAAAGGCTGTCATCGCACAATTATGTGAACATTTCTCTGAAGATGTTCTTAAATACGCTGCAGTGGTTTTTACTCATGGTGACCAGCTCCCTGAAGGAATGAAGATCAAGGATTTTGTTAATGAAAGTGAAGCTCTGAGTGATCTGGTGAGGAAGTGTGGGAGTCGGTGCCACGTCATTGACAATAAATACTGGAAGAACAACCAGGAAGATGAATATAGAAGCAACAAGTTCCAGGTGGCAGAGCTGCTCAATAGCATAGAAGATATAGTGACAGAAAACAATGGAGGATACTACACTAATGAAATGCTCCAAACATTGGAGACAGAAATACAAAAAGAGGAAAATCGGGTTAGAAAGTCATCAGAAAATCTGTCACAGGAAGAGATTAGAAAGCAGGCTAAAGTTAACATCATTAAGAGACACATGGAAAATGCACAAAAATCATGGCTTAAACCTTTTGTGGGTTTGGCAATCATCACAGGATTATTTGCAACTGTCTCAGCTTTGTTGATCAAATCGAAGTTTGGTAAAGTATTAACAGAAGTGCCAGCTTATGTGGTAGAACAAATACCAGAGAAAATCCCAATTCCAGTTAATCCAGTCCCTGTCCCAGTTCCATCTGTTCCATCTATTCCCGTTCCGTCTCTTCCTGTGTCATCTGAATCATTCCCCATTCCAGTCCCAGTACCTTCTGAAGAGGACGTTGTGGGGGGTTTTGAGGCCATTTGGAGACTTCATGTTTTGTATGAGAGAATATTCAATCCCTGGAGTCCATTTGAATAAACACTGACGCACAGACAGATAATAAAACAGCTTAATCATCATATATTGTCCTTTAAATCTTACATAAAAATAGCATTACTGTTATTTTGGCCGATTTTGAATCTTCATGGGAAGTATGAATGTGTTACTTTTTTTGTAATATCCTAAAAATGTTGAGTAAATAAAAAGTAGTGGTCATATATTAAAACATGTAGGGGAGCCCGGGGAATTGGAACGTGGGTCAGTTGTAACACTTAATTTCTTACAAGTTTTTCTACTTTATTTCAATTTCTAATAGCATTATCTGCTTTGCAGTTAAACTCATCAAACTTAAATTATGTTATTTGTATGTCTATGGGGATATATTCTGTGTAGGTCTTTAGTGCTAATGTTTTAGCCGTTGGCTGTAATGTTAGCTAGTTCATGGCTATAGGAGTCTGGGTCAGTTGTAACAGCAACAGTCTGGGTTAGTTGTAACAATAATGCAGATGTTACAACTTACCACACTATTACTTTAACTTATATTAAACAAGTTGGGGCAACGACATCAGCAGAGAGAGGTTCACTGGTCGCTTTTGTATATGCGGTTAATGCCATTGGCAACACAATTCCTCCACTGTTTGTGTTCCCACACATACATTATGCAGACCACTGTGTCAGAGATGGACCAGTAGGAAGTACTGGTAGTGGAAATAAATCAGGATGGGTGCAAGAAACAGATTTCCTCATCTTTCTGAAGCACTTTGCAAACCACACCAAGGTAAGCCATGATAAAAAGTAATGGAATTGCGATGCTGGTGAACAACTACATTTTTTCAGCTTCATTGTTATGTTCAAAATTGGTGCAAGAGTTGTAGGTTATAATGCCCACTGAGCCAATGAGGCCAAACTCAAGGAAGACCAACCAAAATTAATGAAATATTCAGTTGCAGAAAATTCCATAATTTGTCTTTTTTGGGGGGTTGGAATATGTTCAAAAGCTAGATTTCTGCATTCTGTCACACACACACACACAGCTACATAAATGGCTCTAAGTGCATTCATGTGTTGAATAAACAAAGATTACATGTTAATGTTTTGTTAGTACCCTTATTTCATTGTGTTACATTTCACCCCAGGATATGTTACAACTAACCCAGACTATGGGGTTAATTGTAACATTTCACTCTTTGTGTTTGAGACCATACCATGCAATGGGTAATTGTGCTGCAGAGAAAATAGCTGCACTATTTAATAGCCGAGACATGTAAATACTTTGCATTACATTTTGAATCCACTACCTTAAAAGAGCTCCAATTTACAGACAGAAATGTCAAAAATGTTACAACTATCCCCGGTCTCCCCTAAAAAATAAATGGGTGTTACTTGATTATAATCTGAAATTGCTTGATCAGAAGTTCTTCTTAGCTTTGTGATGTTTTAACGCTTTTACATGCAGCAGTACCAGCACTATTTTACCTGTTAAACCTGTATGATGTCTTCTGCAGCTCCAGAGGACCTTTACATAATCATATAAATGTACTGTACATCAATAAAACAGGTGTTTTTTTTATTATGTGACTCTCCTTGTGCTTCTTTATGGGTCCATGTGTATATTGTTTGATTCATTGATAACAATTCCAATCAAAAAAAACTCGTCTGTGTATAAATGATGCACAGTTTTTCATGTGAGGTTTTCCCTCAATATGCCAAACAGCTCTATGTATTAAACTAAGTAATATGTTATGT